GGATCTTAATAAGCTTGTGAGCAGTGGCGGACTGGCCATCTGTAGAATCACAGAACGGCACCGCAACAACCCCCCCCCAAGCATTTGAACGTGTCACATGTTTTAACAATCAATTACTTAAAGGGGACCTATCATGCAAAATGCACTTTTGTACGTCTTTTATACATGAAGATATGTCCCCGGTGTGTCAGGGAACTCACGCAGCTTCAGAAAATAAAACCCTCTCTCTTTTCCTCCATACCCAAATCTCTAAAAACGGGTGTACAGCGAGCAGATACAGATTTGCTGCCNTCATATAAACGTGTGCCTTGGACATAATTGTTTACATTAATGGTGACCAAAACGTTTGAAACACACTGAGATAACACTGAGAGAGTCCTTTAGCTCACTGAGTCTCTCAGTCTGACAGGAGAGGACTCTCCTCCACTTTGTTGTTGAAAAAACTTCTTATATCCGTTAGCGTAGCTCGCTAGTACCAGAAGCTAACATCAACGATCTCCGGTACCGGTGCGCTCTCTCTCTCTCGCTCGCACACGCACACAAAATGGCTCGTTCCACACACACACAGAGCCCCAGACATAATAGTACTGTATCATATTATTTTCGAATCAATAATCTTTCAAAATATGATATATATATATTTTTTTAAATAACCATTTTTCCTCCTGGTCTCTCGCACCCCCCCTGTCATGCCTCTGCGCCCCCCTGGGGGGGCGCGCCCCACACTTTGAGAACCACTGGTTTAGGCGAAGTATGAATATCCCGCAGCCAACCTAATATAGTTTCTTTATATTTGTTGTCAGTGAAAGTATATCTCTGAATGTTGTTAAATTTTAATTGCAAATAGCTTGTGACTTTGTCGAAATAAATGGTTAAGTTAAAAATAGGGCAAGTAAAAATGCAAATTCAAGTAAAGAGAGACATTAGTAATAAACATTTGTTAAAATAAATGTATAACGGATCTACCAAAATAATGCAACACCAGTTTAAAGTTAATTCCCTAGAGCGCCCACAAATATATACGGAAAATAAATAAAAACTTGTTTATTTTTTGCGTTGAACAATAAAATACGATAAATACGTAAATTAAATGGAAAAACCCACGGCGAAGTTAGTGGTTGTTGGAAAATAAAAATGTTTGTATTTCTTTACAAAAGACAGTAGGCCTATACAGCTCTGTTAAAATTAAGTGACCACTGCAAACTTTTCTTACATCTCAATTTCTACATGTGTGGCAGCCATTCCGCAGTGTCTGTTGAATTCCAACACAGATATAGGTTGTCAGTTGGTTTTAGAATAACATAAAGAAAAATTCATTTTACTCAAAAACATAGCTATAAATATTAAAACCAGAGAAAATGATAATTTTGCAGTGGTCTCAGTTTTCTGCTCTACATCTCCTCACCCTCCTCCCAACAAGAACCCTCAGACCCTCCCCCTTGTCTGTGTGAGCGCCTCGGATGACATCACCGCTTTAGATATTCCCGTTGCTTCTTCTTCCCTCTCGCCTCCTCATCACACTCACCCAGCATAAAGAGCCGCGCGCCTCTACGATGTGTTTGTAGCCCAGCGTGATTAAAGTCATACTGTAATTAAAAACAGTTGTTTATCTGGATTTCAACGCTGCCCCCTCGTCCGTTTGGTTTAACAGACTCTTGTGTTCCAAGCACCGGGTCCTCCTCGGGGAGAAAACGCGCCTACTTGGGCTCCAGTGAAAAAAAAGAAGAGGTGGACAACAGGACTGAGCTAAATCGGGCGTGGTAGCAAGAAAAAACTAATCTTTGTTAGCAAAAACTTCAGAAAGAAGCACCATAATGTCGCTGTCGGTACCGCAGAACGGAGTAAAGTCAGACGACGAGCCCGTTATCGAGCTGTTTGTGAAGGTAAGACCGAGCACACGTCTCTTCGAGAAGTTTTTTTATTTTCAGTGACTTTAATAAACACACATCAGTGCATTGTGATGAAGAGAGCTGTATTTCTGCGCACTATTACTGGTTTTGCGTGGCTAAATCCTCTTAAACTAGCTATACGTTGCTAATTAATTTACAACGTTTGCTACATGTGGCACTAACGCTAGAACAATATGTCGCATTGAGTTTAATTTTATTTATCCACAACCCTCCGTGGCCATGTGTCACAGGCAGGGCGGATGCAGCTTTCCTCCCATCGTGGGGAAAACGCTGCCATGCTGACAACACGGCGCTAATCCTTTCTCAAAAGCTCCGTAACAGCAGATTAAACACCGTAACATGCAGTGGAAATTCATGCTTAACACTTAGATTATTATAGTGATGGATTGTGTTGGACGTGCATATAATCTATTCTGGATACTAGGGTCATATGTCGTTAGTTGTTTTGGGAAACACTGTCTGCCATCAGAGATCTGTGTAAAATAGACTACTTTGGTTATTCAAAGTTATCCAAGGTTATCTCACTGTTAAGGCAACAGTATGAAAGATAGGTGTGTGCTAGTTTTACTGTTGGACTAGGTTGCAGGCATGTGTCACCAGTGGTGTTTGTTTCTGACACTGGTTGTTATTCAATGTCATAACTGTTTATGCTGCTTTTACATTTTAGAGATTATGATAATTTATCAAGGAGCTTTTGATAATGCTTGTTTTATGTCTGTTTGTTTCTTCATTTACAAATATTGTATCACATTTACATTTTCCATAAAAAATGGGCTTCCAAAGGGCCTTTTCCCAGGCAACACATCACAACATCATTAACCATTTGTATGAAGCTATCAGTAATTTCAATTAAATTAACCACACTTTTTCCATGGCTTATACATCTGCATCTACTGGTGAGGGATGGTGGAGGGTTGTGAACGGCTGTTTTTCCTTTTCTTCAGCTCAGCGTTGTAGGGCGGGAAAATGGCAGAGTGAAGGAAAAAGGGGGAGCATGGGGCTGGGACAGGCAGGGACTTATGGGGTCTTGGCTGGGAGAGGGCGTGTTGAAGCGGTGTGTCACTGACCCAGAGAGTGAACTCTTTAATGGTGACTGTTGAGAAATACAATCACACTTGTGAAAGACACAGATGAGAATAAAATACTTGTGGAAAGTCTAATTAAAACAATAATTATCTGCAAATGGAAACAGGCATTTTTAACCTGATGCAAACTCACTCTGGGTTACAAGTTTTGCACTTTGGTTGCCTTAAATGAGTCATCTTGTTTTGTTAGATTCAGTATAAAAAACTCACTTGTTTTGTTCCTAGTGCTCTCTTTAATGCAGGGCTTTGTAGTAAGGGACTTCACGAGGCTGAGCAGCTTTGCAGGCCCTTTGCTGAAGCTGCAGAATAAATGGACTCCAACTGGCTCAGCACCATTTCTCCAAACTACCCCTCAGACTACAGGAGAGGTTACATCATCCTGAAAGGTTTACACATGTGGCAAACTCTTCCCCCTCCCTCCCTCCTTGGCCTGTGTAGCTTGAAGTTTCTTTTTATCGTGTGTAGGAAAGCCTTTTGTGTGTTTCTCTTTGGTCCCTTGCATGGCACTGTGTTGCGTGCCAACATCTGCCATGTCCACTTCTATTATTGCGGCCGTTGTTCTCACTGTGCTGCGTTAAACACAGTCATGTGAGACAATGGCAGACATGCAGGTTGCCATAGACACACTTCTTCGAGCAGGGCCTCTGGGAACAGCTGATAACAAACTTACTGTGTGTGCTCTCCACACACTGCGGTGTCAGATCTGTTAGTGCGCCGCCATGTGAAAGCTGACTAATTGAACTTCGAGATCATGAGTTGCTGCTGTGTCTGTAAAAAGACAACACTGATACTCATTCAAAGTAGCTGACTGTCCCCGTTTGGAGATACTTTGATGATCTTGCAGCTTTTCTACCTGTGGTGTTTATAGCTACGGTTGTCACATTGCTATGGCAACACTTTACGTTGTGCTCATCCATGAAGGCGTGACGTTTGTCATTGTCAGTTTCTATTGCTCTCGATTGCAAATAAGCATCGTATAATGACTTTGTGAGTAGGAGGATCAACCGTTGACCCTCATCACGCTGCAGCAGATTAGATATTGTTTTTGCACACATGAGCAATAGCTTCTGCCACTTCCCAGCATCCACCCATGTCTCTAACATCCACAGAGGATCCCTGAATCAATCAGACCGTGCTGCAATTCACATGGCTAAAGGGATATGAAACCCTACATCTGATGTATTTATGTGCTGTGATCACTAGAAAGAGTATTACTCTGCCACAAAGGGACATTGTTTGTAGTATTTGAACTAAGAATTCTAAATATCTTTTTTTTTATGTGACTATTAAACTAATTGCTCACTTTTTTTGATAAAAGATGAATCAGTTCAAGTAGTTTTTAAAGAAGAAAAGTGTACAATTCTGCAACTCCTGGTTTGTTTCTTTGTACCAATTTTTCAAGTCCTGGAAAAAATAGAGTACCTAATTTTGGCTTTCAGGAAGCGCTGACTGACATTTTTCACAGTATTTAGGACTTTATATAGAACAAAGCAATTAATCAAGAAAACAAACAACGGATACAACGTCAATAATTGTTATTTGCAGCCCTATCCTCTTACAAACTGAGTTCCATCCTTATTAATTGCAGCACGGTCTGATTGATTCAGGGATCCTCTCACATAACTTAGGTAATTGTCTTGTGTTACTTTCATTGTTCTTAATGTGCATGATTCTCATTGAATCACTACGATTTTGCTTCTGTTTTCATTCAGCTTCTCTCAGTTTTACAAAGTGAGCCATTTTCCACAAGCATATGACCTGACGGTACGAGCAGAATACAGATGAGTCAAGAGAAACAGACAGGCTCTACTTGTGTATGCTTCTGTTAGCTGCAAGTGTGCCAAAGTCACGCTACCGGTTACAAAACCTTCTGCTGCCTCCAGACTTCTATCGTCTTGCTCCCAGCAGTAACAACAGAGCCAGTACACAAGTGCTTTTAAGTCTGGATGGCATAAGGGGCCGTCTGTGTTTGTGTGTGTCCTTCAGCACAGTTCCATGGGAACCAGTGAGATGGTAGCCTGCAACAAGGTCCACACAACGCAGCACCTTTTCAGGGATGGCTAGGGTCTTCCCGATGACTTACTGCTCAACAACACATCACACTAAGATGTATGTCTTCCCTACACATGAGAACAATTGTTAGGGTTCATGTGTTACACCTTGAACTCTTAGTTGACAGTATATTCTGTTCTTTAAAGTTTATTATCAAACCCTAGGGAAAAACTTCACGGTCATATATTGTGCTATCAGATGCAACTTGTGACAATCAGTTGTATGCCTTGTGATGTGCTGTTTTATGGTTACTGTGCTCCTGGTGGCATTGCAGGCACTTGAGCACTGCTTTTTTTATAGGAAAATCCATAGGGTAGTTAAAGTGTCCTAAGCTTATAGCAAAGGTGCAGTCAGCATCATGAGGGGACAAATATGAATAGCTTGTTGCTGTTGCAGAGCAGTGGTTTCTGCTCTGTGAATTTTGCTTTTGCAGCACCTGCCACTGCTTCTTCATTGTGACTGTCTGGTTGACTGACTCTGAACACTTGCCGTAATCGACCTGGAATTGTGTTATTAGTGTGTAAGAGGAGCTCTCAGATCAATGTTTACATTTTTATGGGGTATTCAAAAGTCCCATTTCATGTTGTTGTCAGTCAAATGGAGGCTTTTTTGTTCCTGATTGTGTAACTAAAATGTTCTGTTGTGCCAATATTTCTAAGGAAAAGGAGGAAGTGCTTGTCTCATTTGTGCTGCCTGACCAGGAAGCCATTGGCTAATAAAGTATTTTCCCTATGAGCTCAAGTACAGGAAGTGAGGTCGCCCTAAGCACATGGATCTGAGACAAGGAGACTTGTTAATTTATGGATTGGTGTGTTTTACTTGTTAATGAACTAATGGCCTGTACAGGTTACTGCTGCAATTATAACCTAGAAGATCAGGATGCAGGGGAGAAGGAGCTACTGCTGCGTCTGCTACATCATCCACACTGTCCGAGGAGATGTGACCCCCTTAAATGAGGAGAATCTGCCCTCCTCTCCACGCTACACGCTACACATGTAACTCAATCAGTCTCAACAAGATCCCGTCTGCTTGTGTTTCACATGCGGTGTTCCTCATAGCAGAGCCTTTGGAAGTGTAGTATGCCCTGAAAGTGGAGGATAGGATGACATGGGAATCTTACTTGACTCATCATCATTCCATCATTTAGTGCACTAAATATCTACCTAGGCTTTTTTTTTGTCTTTGAGAACTGGATGAAGAAGAGTAATGAATTGTTAATGTTAAAATCACAATGATGGCTGCTACGTTAAGGCTAATATTGATGATTTTATTATACAAGGATGGCTAGAATCAAAACTATAGAAAAAAGTATGTTTCTTAAAGCACCACAAGCAAAAGAGAATGGTGCCTGTCTAATTCCATTTAATTTGAGGCAGAATCTCTACAGCCATTGCCTACAACAAACAGCAACTCGCGACAAAACTATTGTTAAGTGGCGATATAGGTGGAGGAACATTTGTATTTTCCATTTTGCAGTGAACAGTCTTTCTTTGCCCAAGCTGTTTCTTCATTTGCATGTTGGTTTTTATGATGTGAAAAGAGCAAGACACCAGACTGGTACTGAAAGCCAACTCAATTGCAGGTCAGAGTGGATATGACCAGCGAGTGTCCAGAGAGAGACAGGGGGTGTTTCTCTATGTCGAGTACGCTTGCTTGGTAGCACATGTCTTCCGAGCCTCTTGCTTCAGAAGCTAGGCAAGAATACTTCCTGGCATTCGGAAAACGAAGAGTGGAACAGGCGAGCAAGTGTGCAGGTGTGCTTCATATGAGAGGCCCCGCCTTACATTTTCCGCCACAGATTTTGGGAAATTGGTCAGGACACAAACACACACAGGA